GGCGCTCGTGCGGGGCGGCTTGGCGGCGACACCGCCATGCTGTGGGCGCGGTAGTGTGATGGTGCGACGGTAGGTGCACGGAATTTCTTGTGGGACATGCTGGCGCATTGGAGAGGCAGGGTGGCTAGCTGCGGCGACGGCTCCATCAGATCCAAGCATATGTCAGCGAGGGCTGCGGCGGCGTGGGATTGCTGGTTGGGGTCGCTGGCCTCGGCCCGATTTGGCCATGTCTAGTGGCTGGACGTGTTCGTGATGTCCGGTGACTGACCCATGGTCACCGGGTTGCGGATGGCGTGGTGGCGGGTGCGACCCGCCGTCAACTGGGCGGATCTCGACGGGTTCTTCTGATCACGCTGGGATTCAACCCTGGTCTGGGTCCCTGTCACCATGGGCCACTCTGGGAGAAACCCTAGATCTCACGGGGATCGAGCGATGACGGTGCTTTTGAAAGATCGAGGATGTCGCCTAGAGGGGAGGGTGAATAGACGCTTTAAAATATTATGGTTTAGGCTTGAACAAATGCGGAATAAACCTAGCGATTAATTTGTCAAGCACAAAACCTACAACAACTAGGCTCACCTATGTGCGCCAACAACTTATGCTAAGCAAGATAAACAACTAAGTGATAGCAAGATATATAACATGAAACACTATGACTATCACAAAGTGAAGTGCATGAATAAAAAGCTCGGGTAAGAGATAACCGAGGCATGCGGAGACGACGATGTATCCCAAATTCACACCCTTGTGGATGCTAATCTCTGTTTGGAGCGGTGTGGAGGCACAATGCTCCCCAAGAAGCCACTAGGGCCACCATAATCTCCTCATGCCCCCACACAATGCAAGATGTTGTGATTCCACTAAGAGACCCTTGAGGGCGGTCACTGAACCCGTACACTTTGGCAACCCTTGGGGGGCGGTCACTGAACCCATACACTTTGGCAACCCTTGGGGGCAGTAACTGATACCCATCAAATTGTTTGGGGCGATCTCCACAACC